GAGACTAAAAGGCTAGCTCTAGGCCATTGATAACAATGTGTATAGAATTTGACATTGGTCTTACCTCGTGGAACGGTTTAGACTTGTGAATTATGCCTATTTAATGATGGATTGTATATATTCTTATGAATTAGATTTGTAATGGTAGTTTATATAATGCTCTTGTGCTTGTGGTCAAATTTGAATTATATATGTTCTGGTCAGATTTAAATTATATATGCATATATATGTTCTGGTCGAATTTGAATTGTAAATTTGAATTTTTTTTACAGAAAAATGTACTGTAGGGGTGGTTCTAGACTGAACCGCCCCTACAAACAGGTATTATAGGGGCGGCTGGTACTACGGCCGCCCCTACAAATCGATTTCAATTTTTGTAGGGGCGGCTGGTGTTATCAGCCGCCCCTACAAATCGGCTGGTCGAGCCGCCTCTACAAACCAGCCGACTCTATAAAATCGATTTGTAGGGGCGCCGAAAACACCAGCCGTCTCTACAAATCGATTTGTAAGGGCGGTCTGGAAACCACCCCTACAAATGCATGATTTGTAGAGACGGTATGGTAGAGGTGGCTAGTCGAGCCGTCTCTATAAAATCGATTTATAGGGACGGCTAAAAACATCAGCCGTCTCTACAAATCGATTTGTAAGAGCGTTCTGGAAATCGCCCCTACAAATATATATAATTTATAGAGACGTATGATAAGGGTGGCCGGCCGAGTCACCTCTAAAAAGTCTTACCAGCCGTCCCTACAAACCATTCATGTAGTAGCGAGTCACACGTAGTACGTGGATTACGCATGTGACCAGATTTCACTGCAGGGCTGCGACGCATCTGTTCTGCTGGCGGACACGGGGAGCTTCACTGGCGAGCAGGGGGCGATCCCGAACAAGAACTCGCTGCGAGGCTTCAGCGTCATTGACAACATCAAGACGTAGGTGGAGGCCTTGTGCAACCAGACCGTCTCCTGCGCTGACATCCTCGTCGTCACCGCCCGTGACTCGGTCGTAGCGGTAATATGTTTTTATTATATTAGGTAGCGTGTCCGTACGTTGCTACGAGATAGCTAATAATTTATATTAAAACACACGGATCGTACGATAAGATAACAACGTTAAAGTGACAGTTAATCCAAAAAATAAAGTTTATAAAATTAACAGTCACGAAGAGCGCGACGTCACATGCTTACAAACTCTACTTTATAGACCTTTCCGTGATGTGCCTAAGATAATGTTTTATATCGGCATGAAGTAATCTCCGATATCTATTTTTTTCGTGCGTCAATAAAACCACAAATAAGTTCTGCCACATCTCCATACCATCCTATACACAGGCTCGAGTATATATGTCGATATTAGTGCCTGTCGCATGGGTAATACTGCGTCTCTTGAAATATCTTCCACAAAAACTTAAAACAAAGTGTTATACTCACCGTATAAATATGTGTGGCTTTTGGTCTATTCCACATAGACATATATTGTAGAATAAGATATTCACTTAATTGTCTGTGGCAAGATTCACGATCAGCGATATATAGAAATAGTTAAATAGTAGGTATTATTATTGCAAGCCATAGTGACTCTGAGTTAGTTACCCATCTATATTCTCTGCAATGTTTCCTTTCCGTCTGAATTTTCATTTGAAGACATCCTCATTCCATCCAAGAATATGTACATTCACTGCGTCCGTATACTGCAAGGTAAATCTAGGAGTATACCTAGCATACATGAGCGCTGGTGTCTTTCAAGCCATTTGTGCTCTTTTGGGCCTGTCACGTCTGAACATCTCGTCCAAAAGAGTCTAGCATCTGGATCTCACGTTTGTTTTGCGTTTATAACAGTAAGGTACCAATGTGTAAAAGTATGTTCCAATTCTTTGCTTGAATGTAAATCTGCAGCCTGGCCTTTCAGGTTCAAAAACACTGGAGTTTCAACATAAATGTGGTAGTACCTGAACCGTTCATCAGCCAAGAGCCAACATAGATAACTGGAGCTCTTCCACCCAATTGCCTGAACAGATGCTTGCTACAAAAAAAATTGTGCATAAAGATGACAGCCATGATGCAGTACTCATGGGAGCAAATAGGGAAAAGAACATAAGTGAGATTACTGATTATTATTCATTAGTTCAGGCAAAATCACTTGAGCACACTACGTAGTTTTCTGACTAACAAATGAAGAGTCACCACACCATTTTATTTTGAACCTAGGTACGTATCCTGACGCCTTTTGATCTACCTATCCAAATGCCACCAAGGTGGGTGGAGGAGCACAAGGGCTATAAACATTCAGAGCAAAGCAGATCAAAGCACACAGAAAGTATGCACCCTGAGCAGCACTGCGATGTCACTGTGCAGCCTAATTTTTTTTTATGCACCATACATAGAAACAGAAGGCAAGCACCCTGTCAGCAATCAGTGGCAGTATACTAATGAAAGAACTCTGAAAGGCACATCATCTGAAATAATTTGATATCTGAAATAATTTGATGAACTATATGTTATTTTATGGAAGTCTAGCTTTATGATTTATATGCCAACAAATGTCAAGTCTGCATCCATGAAGATGATTCAGAAATCAGCAATCATTTTTTCTGTGATAAATATGTATACTTTGAACGCTGGATCAAGATCCTTTCTTGTTATTTATTATTGCTTGAGGATTCTGTCATTTCACAAGATATTTGCATGCATCATTCGAATGGCTTTCAGTGCTTTCAAATGATTTGCAGTATATCAAAATCCATACATCTATAACAATTAGTAGGTTCTTACAATCTATAGAGATCTATTCATATATTAGATGCAAGACCAAAATTCAGTACTACCCAAGTTTTTACCGGCAGTCGAGAATTCCCGTCTAAATTTCCATCCAAAACACTAAAATAGTCCATGATTCTCATACGAAACAAGCACACAGAATGCAAGCTGCAGCCATGCTGCTCACCCAGATAACTGGTTGACTACAACGTTGGCAGTGATCACACATAAACAAAAGGGTAGCCAAGTAAGTTCATGCTTGTTGGTTCTCATCACAAATAATCCAAGCTAGGAAACAGGCCCAATGTATGAAAAACAAAACAGGCAAGAACTATACCCACCAGAATTTCCAGTTCCACCAGTTGCCCGCAACCGTTGAACTTCTAAACCAATTGTAGACAGCAAAACAATTCAAGTATTCATCACATATTAAGCTAACTGGAATATTGATTGTGATTACAGAGTTAATTCAGGTAATATCTTTTTTTGCTTCTAATATCCAGCAAAAAAAATACTAAATTCTTACGGAGATAGTCTCCAATAGACAATATTAGTTTAAAAGGACTTCCATAGGGAATTAAAAAAAAAATTCAAGAAGCAGGACATGACATGCCATTATTTTGGAGTGGTAAATGATCGAGTCCAATCTTTGATCACAATTTAAGACATGAAGCAAGGCATTCAGAAAACCCAGTGCATATCGGTTAGTGCCTTGTTAGGAAGCAGTCTAGCTCTATCACAAGTTCAATAAAACATATGAAATGATTTTTTCCCTCGAATGAACATATGAAAAGAATGATCTCGAAATTTTATTAATGTGTCACCAGTTGTTGCTTTTTCCAGTGGAACTTATCGATCAATTTTAAGCCCAAGAACCACAGAATAATAGTGGTGCGCCAGGACCTGAATATAAGTTAAAAGATCATCCATGACTGAATCAATCTCCAGTTGTTTGTGAGTTTCTGATTAGTTTATCTCGGGCATGCAGGTTTAGGCATTCTCAATTTTTTCTGTTACCGGACATAAGCAGTAGCCTCCTTGGCAAGCAGTATTTCTATTTCAGATGCACACATATGAGCTCAACCAACATGTGCACATCAAAATAAATAAATAACGATTAGGCAATACCAACACACACATGAAAAGCTCAACTATTGCTACTTTGCTAGGCCACAAGTTCAGATGAAATCAATCTCACAACATTGGGCATATTAATTTCAGATCCAATCGATCTAGGAGTGTTTCAGACAGATCAAATGCACAACCACACAAGAATAATCACACAAGACCATATCAATTTGCCCTTACCTTGGAGCGGGGCACCGGATATGCTTCACGACGAATGGAGCGACGGCGACTCCTCCTTCACCATGCACATCTGAAGGGGAACAAAGGGAGATTAGAAGACATCGGAATGAGCATGAGCCTCACCATGGTTAAATACACATCCATACACAATAACCGGACAAAATTTCACCTGTTAGGCAAAGATACGGCCATCCTGTTGAATCTCCCAAGGAGCCCCGTCGAAGAAGACGGCTTCCCCGACAACGGACCAAACTCGGCCTCCTCGTAGTCATCGTCATCCTTTCCGCCGCCGCCGCCGCCACCTCCATCCTTGTCGCCGTTGCCTCCGGAGTCTTTCCCGCGGTTCCCGGCACCCGATCCGTCGCCGGCAGCGTCGTGGCGCAGCACAGATGCTTCAGCTCCTGCACAAATAGGGGCCAGGGCTTAGTTGCGCCGGAGTCGGAGTGGGGGGAGATGATGGGTGGCCGCACAGGGGTGTCGAATCTCGACCGGAACGGGAAACGGCGGCCGGATGAAGGAGCCTCCGAGCTCCCTGCCGTCCCGCCGCATCCGCCGAGGGCGTGGCCACCATCGCAAGCCCTGCCGCCTCACGCGGTGAGGGCGCCGCCGCAGTGCGTGTGGAGGTCCGCGAGGAGAGTGAGATTGAGGGAGAGGGCCAGCCTGTAGGGCGAGGGAGGACGATTCCCATCCGAGGGGCGCGAGGGGTGCGGGTCTGCGGGATCGCAGGAGGCAGACAAGCGACGTTTCTTTCCTTCAGCGACGTTTCTTTCCTTCTTTTTTCGCAAGCGAGGGGCGTAGGCGCAGAGGGGACGATGGACCACGTTGTAATGTCACACCCAAAAATGTTAACGCTATATTTTTTTCAGTTGTAGGAGATATATAGTCAAGATAGATATGCATAGCAGGACTATCTATGATCGATCGATCTGCGTCTGCATGCAGCTGGGAGGGCCGTCATGGACTGTTCTTCTAGGAAGAAGGGACTCCACCACTGCAAGCAAGGAGAATGCAGAGCGGGACCTGCCGGCTCCATCCTTCGACCTCGCCAACCTCACCCAGTCATTCGCAAACAAGAACCTCAGCGTCACCGACATGGTTGCTCTCTCGGGTAAGTAGGATCGATGCCTACCATTCATTCATACACTGCGTCTCCCTGGTGCCTGCACGGAGACGTACACTGACGAGGAGAACACACAAGCAATGATGCATGCATGTCGGCTTTAATTTGCATTGCAGGGGGGCACACGATCGGGCAGTCGCAGTGCCGCTTCTTCCGCCACCACATCTACAACGACACCAACATCAACTCCACGTTCGCGGCGTTGCTGCAGGCCAACTGCCCCCAGGCCAACGGCAGCGGCGACTCCACGCTAGCGCCGTTGGACGCGGCGTCGCCCACCGCCTTCGACAACGCCTACTTCAGCAACCTGCTGGCGCAGAATGGGCTGCTGCACTCCGACCAGCAGCTGTTCAGCGGCGGCAGCACCGACGCCACCGTCAGGAGCTTCGCATCCAGCGCGTCCGCCTTCAGCAGCGCCTTCGCGACGGCCATGGTGAACATGGGGAACATCGCCCCCAAGACAGGGTCCCAGGGACAGATCAGGGTCAGCTGCTCCAAGGTCAACTCCTGAGTCCTGACCCGACCATGCAAGAGACAGAGACAGCTGGAACATCCCGGACAGCTTGCTTGTATCTACGTACGTAATGAAATCCTCGTGCAAAGGCATGGATATTTAGAAAAGAATGTTTACATATATGAAATCTTAACTTCGTATATGATTTCGTATGAAAATAAATTTTATATGAAATTATATGCCTGATGAAATATACTCCATCTATTCTAAATTATAAGTCGCTTTTTGAAACATCAATTTTACTACGTATCTAAATAGAGAACTGCTCCAGTACGTCCCTTTTAGAAAATTGCATGAATCTTAAAGCAAAGCTCGAGTTAATTAATTAGAGGCAAAATATTTATCCCGTGGTTCAGCTTGCCACCTCCACGTTGTTGAGAAAGCCACAAAGGTTTGGGTTTCACAAACTCTATCCTCTTCTCAAGTCAAGAGAGCAAGTCCCTGGATATGAGAGGTTCTTACTAGATTGTTGGGATGATTACAAACATCCCGGTACTTCCACACAAGTTGGAAGTTTCACCGACAACGCCTAGCCGGCTAGGAGCCTTGCTCCAAGAGTAATGAAAACAATCCACCGGCTTGGACGCAAACCAAGTGCTCTTGGGAGTGAAGAACAAGTTGGAGAGCTATTGATTGAAGTTTTGGAGGCTCACACGCTCAAGGATTGAATGGAAATCAATGGAGAGTGCTTGAGGTTGGTGGGAGGCATTCAATGGAGCTCTCTTTATCTTTCTGGTCAAGCACAAGAATGGAGAATGGTCAGATGACCGTTTGAAGGGCAGAGGAGAGATTTAAATACCTCCCTCACCCCTTCAACGGTCAACAAGTCGCGGCAGTGCTGCAGACCCCAGACAACCAAGAGATAGGAGTTAGGGTTTGCTGTCTAGGTGAGGCTTTTAAGGATGCTTTGGTGGTTGGTTTGAGCACTTAATTGCACATCAAAGCTTATGCATTGTATCCATCTTTGTAGTACGGCTTTTTCTATACTCAATTTCAAAATAAAAAATGAAATAAACTCCTTTTTTAGTCGGTTGTCGTGTTCTTTTGTAGCTGGGGTTCCACCACTACATGTGTCGTCTTCTTTTACCTTTTACCTGTTTGTTAACTCGATAAATCTCATTAGTTCTCTAATTGCATGGTCATTATCACTAAATCTATGATTAGGACTTGATTGCACTTACAGATAGCCTCTATGAGACGTTTTGTTGTAAAACCCCACCCACTATAGTTTTTTGTTGCAAAACCACCATGCTACAAATGTGCTTAATTGTTTTTGCATGTTTTCACGAACATATAGCCATTAGAAGCCGAGGTTACTATGCCAACATTTCTTAGGTACTTGATATGGTCATGATTATGCTTTATCGATAATTCATTTAGCACAGACTCAAAAAGTAGAGATTACACTTCTACAAGTATATGACTTGTATATAGACATGTCAACAGCTATTTACGGGTGAAATATGCCAACTTTGTACATTGTGAGATGGTTTTTGCAACAACAAAAAAACTGTAGATGCGTGGGATTTTACATCGGAGGCGATCTTAAACTTAAAGTGACTTTTTTTAGGTTATGATCCATGGATTCTTGCAATTTTATACCCATTATAAAAATGTCGTCCAACGCGTGCCGTGGCGTGGGCCTGATGGGCTTCGAACTCACGGGATAGCCCGGTCCCGTTCACAATTCAGCAAAGTGATTGCCACCCAACGAAATCCAACGCTAACGCCCCATTTAAAAACAATAAACGAAATCCAACGCACACAGCCCTCGATCCCCGATTCCCCTCCCTGCCCAATCCCCATGGCTCTCCAAGCCCTAGCCTACAGGGATTCCCCTCGCTTTCCGCCGCCGCCCGCTAGGAACCCCGACCTGCCGGCCATGGCCGCCGCCGCCGCCGCCTCCCTCCCCGATTGGGCGCTACTCGACCGCTTTATCTTCTTGAGGGACGACACCTCCTTCCCCGCCGCCGATCCCACCGCGGCGTCCTCCACCAACTCCTTGGGCGACAAGGTCAGCGTCTGCTTCTAGCTCCACGATCCGCCACGGCCGTCGGTGATCTACCTGTCATGGCCGGCCTGTGACTTGGAGTACCTCCGCTTCAACGTCCTGGCGGCCCACCGTGACGCGGTGCTCTTCCAGATGATCTACCCCGTCTCCGTTCCCCGCCGCGAGTACCCCCACGACATGTACGACTACTTCCTCTACAGGGCAGGAGGCGCTGCCCCGTCGCTCTATCGGCTCCCCTCCGTCTATGGCACCTTGCCCGAGTTCTGGGCCATGTTCAAGGGGGGTCCTTTCGCCACACCGACCAGAACCTGCGCCGGCTGGAGTGCCTGGACATGGGCGTCCTGCGCCGCGGCGAGGACGACATGGCCGTGGCGGAGCTGCAGATCATCAGGACTTCAGAGGAGCCCGAGCTGCACGTGCTCATTCCGTCTAGTTCTGGGTCCAGCCGATGGCAGTCCAAGAAGATGCGCTTCATCCATGCTGCTGCTGAGCTAGACTTAGAGCAGTTCCTGTGGAATTGGTCTGCCGACGCCGTCGTCCCGTTCGGGCGCTACTTGTGCTGGGTGGATTACTGCCAAGGTGCCATCTTGCTCTGCGACGTGTTCAATGACAGCCCTGCGCTCCGCTACCTGGCATTACCTGCCAAGCTGCCTGGCATGTATCGTCGTGGCTTTGGCAGTTCATTGGCGGATATGTTCATGACTGTGGGTGTTAATGAAGAGAGTGGTGTTATGAAGTTTGTCCGTGTTGTTGGTGGCAATGGCAGGATGATTGGTTTAGAATACATCCCTGAATCAGGCTTCGCAGCTGACTCTTGGATATTAGAGATAACAGAAAAGGATGAGATGATCTGGAAGAAAGGTGCTGCGGTCAGATCAGATGATCTCTTGCTGTCTGAAGCCTTTGCAAAACTCCCTCCCATGCCCTTGCAATTCCCTCATGTCAGCTTGAATGACCCAAGCATCGTCTACTTTGTGAAGGCAAATCATGGGCACGTGATGGATGGGATTGAGTATGATAACACGTGGCTCGTGGCCATTGACATGCCAAACAAAACTGTCAAGTCATCATTTCAATATATCAAGAAGGAAGAAAGCAGTTCTGATGAGTACACCTCAAGTGGAAGAAGACGGGTGAGGTATTACGCTTCCTATCCCTAGCCCGCCCACCCCTGGCGGCCACCCCTCGCCACCCCCGCCCCCCCGGCCCCAGCGCCCGCCTCCCCCTACCCTCAGCCGCCCCTCCCCCACCAAGACGCTAGGGCGAGGCGACGCATCTTGGTCAGTTGCCTTGGCGCCGCCGCCGGCTGCCGCGCCATTCCCGCCGTCGGCGGGGCCGGATCCGGCCCCCATGGCCCAGTCATGACCAGATCCGGTGGCCAAGCCCTCATCCCCGCCGCTGGGTGCCTCTCCACCTCCGTGGGCTGCTCCCCAACGTTGTGGCCCCTCTACGCCGCCACCCCCGCCGTCGGCTTCATCTCCAGCACCCCGTGAATTTGGGCTACAGCGGATCCCGAGCCCGCCGGAGGATCCGATGGCCTGCTCTGCCTCTAGCGGCCATGGCTCGCCCCTCTCTCCTAACGCCGCACCCTTCTACCCTAGCGGTGCCTCGGAGGGCGGCTCCAAGTTCTGTCGGTGGGCGAACGATGGCTTCCGTGATGACTACGACGACGAGGCCACGCCGATGGCCTCACCAACTCCCTACCTCGACGCAGTTCGCAAGTTGTCGCCGCGGGGACCTTCTCCGATCGGGGAGCCGGTGCCGTCCCAGGCTCCCGCTCCCGGGGGCAGGCCTAGCGGTGGCTGCACGCTCGCTAGGCGCTCCTTGCGGCCTCGTCATCGGAAGCAGCAGCGTGCTCCCCGCAGTCCTCCTTCTCGTGGGGAGAGGATTGCTGGTGGATCTAGCGTGGCCCTACGTGTGTCGGCTCACCTGAGACTCGGAAAGCGAGAACCCGAAACCCCTCGGCGCCGCTTCTCCACCCCCGATGAGGATCTTGGGTGCCGCAAGCTCAGGCGCAGGTGCACGGACAGGTGTCACCGCCCCCGTCGATCTGGCACGAACGAGGATTCCATGGGCGCTGTGCGAGGCATTGAGCTAGCGCCGGAGAGGCGGCTGGCCTCTATCATTGTCCACCCCTCAAGGATGTCCATGGAGCCGGATGCTGAGGGCTTCCGTCAGGTGCACAGCCGCCGTCGAGGGCGCCGTCGGGTGCCGCCACGGCCGGCAAGGCCAGTCCCTCCGAATCTCGTAGGCCTATGCTTCAACTGCCTGGCAGGCGATCACATCATGGCGACGTGCACTTTCCCGTCGTGATGCCTCAACTGCCGGCGTGAAGGTCACCGGGCCCGGGATTGTTCACTAGCGGCGGCTGCTAGGGAGGGTAGGCGAGGTCCCCCGTTGTCGCATTCGTTCGGCGGTCGCCGTGGGGTGTCGCGGAGGAGGTCATCACAGCAGCCCAATCCGCACATCGTGCATGACTCGACGTCTAGTCGCTTGGCCTCCTTGGACCCTTCCAGCGGTCCCCTCCCCGAAGGTGCTGGTGGCAGAGACTTCGGGTAGTCGTTGGAGCCGGAGTGGGGTCCCTCGTTCAGCTCCCTCACTTCCGCCCTGGTGGAGACCAGGTCACAGTTGGCTAACATCCCTTGGGACCCCATGTCTTCTAAGTGGGGCGCGATGTCAAAGCCAGGTTCTCCGGTTGTCGTTCTGCAGGGAGGTGATGAACGGAGGGGCGTAGCATGTTGGGAGCCAGAGCTCGTGGTGGACCGTCGCTCGGAGGCTCCGCAACGTACCTTTGGCCCTATGCTGGTTGAAGTCTGTCTACGCCCTGGGTCGCTGTCGGTGGGTGTGGCAGCCCCAGCCTCATTGGGAGTGCTGGGGGCTCGTGAGAGCCCAGTACTTCAAGGTCTGGATAAACCCAGGGTAGACGTCGAAAACTGTGGCGCGTTGGGGGCTGACAACGACACCACCTCCGCATCTGGGCTCGGGCTGGAGGATGACTACAGCCTGTGGCCGAGGATATGGAGGAATCTTGGGCGCCCTCCACAGTTGTGACCGTGGCCGATGAGGTGGCCCAAGTCGCAACCCCAAGCGCTCAGCCGGCAGCAGCGGCGGCACCTATCAGATCACCTACAGTACTTGCGGCCTCCTTGCAGAGCTTCATCGCATCCCTGAAGCTGCCACTGGAGGAACCGTTAATCACATCCTCCCCGCGCCGTCGTGTATCGCGTCCTGACGACTCCATGTTCGTCCCAAGGCGCAGTGACAGGTTAGCTGCCAAGTCCATCCACCGCGACCCCAACCCGAAGAAGCAGGCGAAGCGCGTCCTTCTCAACAAGTGGAGACGCGAGCCGGCGAACGGGTCGTAGACGCCGGATCCGGCCATTGCGGCAAAGTTCCATGAAACGTTTGCCGGGCCGCTTTCCGCCTCCAAGCAGGCCGCCATGCGTGAGCTGTTCCGATGGCTGGAGCGCGCATGGGCATGGTGCTGCCCGATATTGAGCATGCCTAGTGGACAGCGCTGACCCGACACTTTGGTCACACAATTAGTTTCTTAGTTAATCAAACTAGTGTGCGTTCCACTGTCCTACGGTGCCTTTTGTTTGTGTTCAACCCCATCACTAATGGCATCTCGCTGTAATATGATGTAGGGCGTGTATGTTTCTAAACTTCTTAATGAAACACGTGCTAAGCACGTTCTAGAAAAAAAATGAGTACACCTCATTTGTCGTGGAAAAATCCTGGGATTTCGAGACCTTTATTCCCTCTGAGCTCCCCAAGTACTTGAGGAAGCTGCACGGCACAAGGTAATCCCATTTCATATCAATCTCAGAAGCATGATTTGAAGACACTGATAATTATACCTCATAGCTTCATTCTCATGGTTTGTCTTTACAATGCAGTGCCCATGCTATTGCCACACCGGAGTTTAGTGATAGATTGCACTTACATTGATGATGAATTGGCGCCAAAATCTGTAGCTATATATATGCATGCTGCAATAATAATGCAGACACAGCGAAATGATCTAGTGAGATTAGTTAGTTAGTCATACAGAGAGACAAGATAGACGTTTAGGTGCTTTGATCTGTGTAGGTGTAGGTGTAAACAAAACAAACACAGTCTGATCGATGATGGAGTCGGCTTCTCGCCTCAGCTTACTGGTGGTCGCGATCTTGGGGCTAGCCACGGCGGCCACCGCGCAGCTGTCATCCACGTTCTACGACACGTCGTGCCCCAAGGCTCTGGCCACCATCAAGAGCACGGTGACGGCCGCGGTAAACAACGAGGCGCGCATGGGGGCGTCCCTGCTCAGGCTGCACTTCCACGACTGCTTCGTCGATCCAAGTCTCGAGACTCTCGCTCTCGCATGGATCTTTGAAAAGTTGCAGTCACACGTAGTACGTGGATTATGCATGTGACCAGATTTCACTACGTGTGGTGTGACTGCAGGGCTGCGACGCATCTGTTCTGCTGGCGGACACAGGGAGCTTCACCGGCGAGCAGGGGGCGATCCCGAAACTCGCTAAGAGGCTTCAGCGTCCTCGACAACATCAAGACGCAGGTGGAGGCCGTGTGCAACCAGACTGTCTCCTGCGCTGAAATCCTCGCCGTCGCCGCCCGTGACTCCGTCGTGGCGGTAAGTTTTTATATGCATGATAGATAGCTAGTACTTGTGTGCATAGCAAGGATGATCGATAGAGGTTTACTGGAACTCGATCTGCAATTCCGCATGCAGCTGGGAGGGCCGTCATGGACTGTTCTTCTAGGAAGAAGGGACTCCACTGCAAGCAAGGACAATGCAGAACGGGACCTGCCGGCTCCATCCTTCGACCTCGCCAACCTCACGCCCAGTCATTTGCAAACAAGAACCTCAGCGTCACTGACATGGTTGCTCTCTCGGGTCTATAGGATGCCTACCATTCATTCATACGTCTGCCTGCACGAGGACGTACTCTGACGAGAGGAGAACACAAGTCATGCAATGATGATGCATGTCGGCTTTGCATTGCAGGGGGCACACGATCGGGCAGGCGCAGTGCCGCTTCTTCCGCGACCACATCTACAACGACACCAACATCAACTCCACTTTCGCGGCGTCGCTGCAGGCCAACTGCCCCCGGGCCAACGGCAGCGGTCACCCACCGCCTTCGACAACGCCTACTTCAGCAACCTGCTGTCGCAGAAGGGGCTGCTGCAACCCGACCAGCAGCTGTTCAACGGCGGCGGCACCGACGCCGCAGTCAGGAGCTTCGCATCCAGCGCGTCTGCCTTCAGCAGCGCCTTCGCGACGGCCATGGTGAACATGGGGAACATCGCCCCCAAGACAGGGTCCCAGGGCCAGATAAGGGTCACCTGCTCCAAGATCAACTCCTAAGCGGGCCAAGCGACCATATGCAAGAGATAGAGACGCCCTGTGCCGCTGTGCGTGCGTGGAATAAAGCTGCCTATATATAGGTCCTCGTGGTGCCAATAACACTGGAACATCAGAATAGCAATTGCTTGCATGTGTGCGTGTGACAGTGTGAAATGCAATGCATGCATCTACGTGTGTAATGAAATCCTCGTGCAAAGGCATGGATATTTGGAATACAAAAGTTTACATCTATAAAATCTTAACTTTAATTTCTTTATGATTTCATTTTTATACGAGGTTATAGTACTCCTTCTCTATCAATGTATGCCCGGCATGCTCTTGGTTATAGAACTTTATATATAGCCCACAACCTTTTTCGTTTGAAAACGTCTTGGTGCTGAAAATATAATTGATAAAATGTTCATATTTGTACCTATTGCGTCTATTGTTCAGCGTCAATATGAATTCAAACAGAAAGGTTGTGAAGTACAATTAAGGTTGTAGACTTGGTCCACAATTTTCATGTGAATTTTATGGGAGTTGCAACATTTCAAGTGCCTAATAACAACTAAAAGGACAACTCACAAGAGAAAATTTATACTTTTTTCTATATAGTCAAACAATGACAAAATTACATGTTGCCTAGAAATGAGGCTTCTAAAGTATAGGAGAAGTGGAATTTTATCTCCATCTTGCTCACATAGAAAAATTATGAATGTTTAAGAAGAGAAATTTCGTAGCTTCAATTTGTGAGGTTTTTTATTGGTGAAAAATGAAAAATCGCTATTTATCTTTTTTTCAGGGAAAAAATCGCTTTTTATCTGTTGTCCGACTCGGTAAATGGACTCGAATCCAGTCCCACAACAGTCGAGCAGTTCTGGATCCAACTACTCTACCCGATTGGGCTCTTAGCCTGTACGCGGAGTGGGCCGGCTTGGCAACTATAGGCCCAGCACGGCCTCTTACTAAAACCCTCTGCTTCCGTCTCCGTCGGCGGGTGCACGCAACTCTTGCGAAACGAGCAGGCAGAGCCGAGCGAGGAGCCACCGGCAAGCGGCAACCGCCGCGGCGAGTTTCTCGCGGCTTGCTGGCGCTGCTGCCTGCTGCGGCGGAAGCGGCAAGGCTTCAGGCCAGCGTGGTGGTGATCACAGCGGCCGGAGGCGTGGCGTGAACCAGCAATCCGTCTAGAACACACGCAGCGCAGGGCCAGGTTTCAGGTTTCGTCAGGTTTGCGACTCCAACACCGGAGCTAACCTAAATTCCCGTATTCTCCATGTTCAATTGGAAGACCTAGGGGAAGTTAGATTCTTCTCGATTTCGGCAGATGAGAATTGGATTCAGTTCTCGTCAATTAGTTACACCCATGAGCCATGTCCTGTACCACTGGGCACGCCCCTGGATATGGGGAAGTGGGGAATTGAGTAACATATAACATGGCCGGCCGTCAAAGCCTTTGATTCGAGGAAGATAAGTGGGAGCGAAGTGGGGGAACATGGATCCCAAACCCTTTTTTTTTCTCAATATGCATGTATTTTACACAAATGAACATGATTTCATATGTGCTTGCTTGGAACTGAGCAGGAATTGAAATTCATTCAAAATTTCACAGGTTGATGTGAGCTGCTGATCATCATTGGCTGTATAGTATCCTTCAGCAATGGTTTACTGCGATCACTGTCGTGATAACTTCCCCATAAAGTATCCTGACAAAGGATACATGTGAGCTCTCCCTGTCTTTGTATATAACGGGATATACAATGCAAAACCTGTCAGTATTTTTTGTTATGAACATGGCCTTGCTTTGCTTACAACTCTGTTAATGGCTGTCCATTAGATTTTCATAAAGCAATTTTTGGCTCGTGTGCTTGTTTATCAGTACATCAACTGACATGTTTGACAATCAGATGCTGTGGTACATGTGGGAAGGTTCTTGATGACACGGTATTCAGTGACGAGCCTAATTTTTATAAGGATGGCAAAGGGGAGGTTGGTTTTGACTCATTTCTTTGCAACATTTGGGGTTTTCTTTTTTTGTTTACCAATTTCTCAGATTGATATGTTTTGGAGATATACAGAGCCGCATTGCTAGACGTGTTTGTGAAAGCATTGAGTCTGTATACTCAATTTCCCGTCAAAGAACTTTAGACAAAGGTATGGATTGTAAGGCACTTATTTTTCACTACTCGTGATACTCTGTCAACTAATGTTTATACTTTGTATTTTACTAGCGAGGGATGAGATTATTAGTCAGATTGTCAATAACTTACATGTGGGCGGTGGAGATACTATCATTAAAAAGGCTCATCGCTTCTACGAAGCATATATTTCTATTGTTATCAGTCCATAGTCATGTTGTTTAAATGGAATGCAGCATCGTGATACTGATGTTTCTTCTTTTTGAAGTGCAGATAGCTCTTGACCGTAGCTTTACAATGGGCCGTAGAACAACCCATGTTGCAGCTGCTTGCCTTTACATTGCTCGCCGGTATACTACAACCTAATTATAGGCTCACTACTTTCTTTATTGGAACTTCTGAAGCTTTTTGTCTATTTTGCTTACTTCTGTTTGAATATGAGCATTCATTGATTGATTGGCCTCCACCCTGGCCACTTTTTATGAGACCAGCAATAGTTAATTCTATATTACGTTCACCTTTTGTTTTTGGAAAATATCCTACAAGTTATAATTCTATTGCAGCCCTTTGTAAACTTGGAAAGGTTTATTTTATTAGATTGAAGATTGCAATAATTGACTGCAGACAAACTAAGTGTTGCTTCACTTTACCCCCTGTGATTCTGGCCTCTAATTAGAAAATTAACCTTGAGAAACTTCCTCTCAGTGGTGCATTAGGGTTAGGATTGTTAGCTAATCTACTGCCACCTTGTGTGAACACAGCAGAGGAAGGCGGCGCCGACTTAGCCGCCTGCTGTGTGTGAACACAACAAGGAAAAGGCGGCGCCGACTTTGCCCCCTTTGTGATCTGATGAGGGCGCTGCAGTGTAGGCGCCGCGCGGCTCACCCACAAAGATCAGAGACAGAATGATGTTGGCCGCGCAGCAGTCAGCCTGTCGGGTTATCTAAGTTGTGCCCGGCATGGGCGCGCACATGGACTAGATAGTTAGAGTTGTATAAATAGACATGTATGGCAACTCAAGAAAGAGAGCTCAGTTGCCATCACAAAGCGGGACCTCGCCAACGCTGTTGTCTTGTATTGTGCGTGCTTGCTCTGTTCTCCCCTTCTTCTAAGCTCGTCCGTAGTGTGTGGAGTACGGACAACGCCGAGACGTGGTGCGCGACGGCTAGTGGGTGCTCGGCAACACTAAGCGGCGTGCTTGCTGCTTGAGACCGTCAAGTGCTCCACTACTTTGAGCCGGTGCTCGGCAAGATCGGTGAGCGGTTCACCGTCGTGAGCGGTGATGATCTGTGAGACCAACGGAGTGGTGCGGAGGCCATCTCGGTGGTCGGGAGGCTAAGCGTGGGCCAACAAGTGGTATCGGAGCCGTACAAGCGTCGTCGTCATTCTAACCGATGGCGATGGCGATAGCGGTTCGGTGTTGGCGGCGACGATGGTAACGCTGTCGTGGCTGCCCAGACCACTACCGGATGTAGTTGTTACGACGCAGTGCGGGAGGTCGGTGACACCACTTGGCCGGCGCCGACTCGCACTAACTATGGAGAGTGGTCGGTGACCATGAAGGTTAAGCTTCGAGCCGATGGCTCGGAATCTTTATTGACAAGGGCACCGAGCGTGGAAAAAACGACATGTCGGCGTTGGAGGCTATCCTCGCATTTGCTGTGTACCGTGAGTCTGAGGAACCGTTGGGGACGAAAGGCTCGGCTAAGGAGGGCGTGGGAGGCCATTGCGGTGATGCGCGTCGGTTCCGACCGCGCAAAGAAGGCGACGGCCCAGCTTCTAAAGCAGGAGTACGCAAACCTCAAGTTCAAGGATGGTGAAATAGTGGAGGACTTTTCCCTCCGTCTGTAGACGCTCATCAGCAAGCTGAAGAGCCACGGCGTCACCATCGACGAAGAGGAGGCGGTCTCCAAGTTCCTCCACTCCGTGCCGGCAAAGTACATCCAGATCGCTCTCTCCATAGAGACGATGCTGGACTTGTCCACCCTCACCATTGAGGATGTGGCATGCCGTCTGTGGGCGGTGGACGAGCGCCTGGGGCAGGCGATAGCTACGAAGGACAGCGGGAAACTCCTGCTGACGGAAGAGGAGTGGGCTGCTCGGCGAAACTCCGGGAAGGCAGCCTCCTCCAGTCGCGGTGGCAAGGGCAAGCACCGAGACAGGGCTTCTTCGGAGAAGAAGCACATCGACTCCAACGCCTGTCGGTGTTGCGGGAAGATGGGCCATTGGGCACGGGAGTGCCCAAATCGCAAAAAGGAAAAGAAGGCTCAGGCTCACCTGGCGAAAGCCGACGATGAGGATGAGGCCACTATCCTTATGGCGACATTCTGTGCACTGCACGACGTCGAGGCCATGGAGAGGAAAGAGGCGACGACGGTGGAAGGACCTGGAGATCGTCAACCTCGACGAACCACGTGCCCAAGTCCATCTCGGGCGTGTGGGCGCCCGACCGAGAGCGGCGGTGGTATCACGGACTCGGTGCGGTAACCACAAGGCGGGCTCAAGGACTCCTTCTCCGAACTCGGCGGCGATATTCTTTGATACGGTGAAGTTTGGTGACGGCTCAAGGGTGGCTATCCAAGGTGCGGCACCATCATCTTGAGATGTCGAGCAGGGAGCACCGCAGCGCTAACGGATGTATACTACATCCCACATTGCGTTCGGCATCATCGGCATTGGTCGGTGGATGAGCGCTTGGTAGCGAGTTACGATCAGGACGGCGTTCGAGGATCGGAGATCGGGAGCAACGACTTCGCCAAGGTGAAGAGGTCCCTGAATCGGTTGTACACCTTTCGACCGAAGGTAGAGCGATCCGTTTGCCTGGCGGCAAGGCACTCCGAGGAACCGTGGATGTGGCATGCCCGGTTCGGACATCTCAGCTTTGAC